CTCCCTAACTCCCCCCTCTCCCCCCCTACCTCCTTCTTACTTCCTTCTTACTTCGGTGCTTTTGTCTTGTTTCTGTCTTCGCTCCCTCGCTCCCCTTCCCCGCTCCTCCCTTTCTCCCCTTCTTCTGGGCTCCCCCCACCCTTCCGTCTTCCCTATTGCTATACCGTAATTTTTTGTTTTCGACTTCCCGGGGTTTTCACAGGGTCTTCTCTGTCGTTCCTCCTCCTCTCCTTCCTCTTCCTCTCTCCTCGTATTCTTTCTTTTCTTCTTCCTTCCCTCCCTCTCTTCTCTCACCTCCCTTTTCTTTTTGTTCCTCTTTCTTCCTCCTTTTATCTCCCCTTACAGCATATTAGTCCTCTCGCTACTCCCTCTCCCCTCTCTCTCGCTCTATCTTCGCTTCTCCCTTTTCCTTCGCCTCCCAATATCCTCTGCCTTCAGAAGTTTTTGGAGGTTTTTTAGCATATTTCGCGGTCGCGTCCGCCATTAACGAATCGATTCGTTATTGTTTCGGAAATCGATTCGTTAATTTTTTACCATTTACGAAATTTCGTAAATATCAAACTTTTTAAAAGGAAAATTTTGTAATTATTTTAAATATCGAAACAAAAAAAACCCCCAAATACCAATCGATTTTAGAAACAAATTTTTCCGTTGTTACCCAGGCCTAGTGATGTGAAATGGGGAATGATTTCCATCATGTGCGGACCTAGTCTGTCAAATAAAAAAAAACAGTTTTTTTTTCTTTTTATCAGGGAACCTGTGCTCTTAACTACACTACATGTGAAAAGCTGACTGTACACAGTGATATAGATACAGATTTAACTCTCATAGGTATATTTCATGTAATATTGGGATTTGCGAAACATAAAGTGTACTCCTGGTACAACAATTGCATAAGATCCCTTTTTATATGTGTAATTCAGAGTTTGTTCTGCTGTCTTTAACATTTATTTATTTATTTACCCTATTTATACCCCGCCTTTCTTTCCCCCAAGGGGGACTGAAGGCGGCTTTCATATGGCAATTATTCAATGCCTTAAACGCATATAACATTAAGCCTAAAATTTAAAATTACATTCAATATTAAAATTATTTAAATTAAAATAATATTATTTAACATTAATATTATTTGTCCATGAATCAGCTAAAAGAAAGAACAATTGCAACCAATTGCAATTAGGTATGGAATATGTGTAAAGTGCTCATTTCAAAATGAAGTATGGGTCAAGCTCTCAGTTAAATCTTATAGTTATGGTCAAGGATTATGAAATCACACAGTTATAAAATTGAAAGAGTTGGAATGAAAAGTGTCAAATATAATTGAGGACAGAATTAACATGAACATTTGGGGGAGCTTATAAAAAGAGAGTTGAAGTCAATTTTGATTGGAGCAGAAAATATTTTAATTTTATAAAAACAATCCAAAAGGTCACAAATCTTATTTAGCTACTCAGTTTCAGACAGATTTGACTGAACCATGATATGATAACAATATACTTTGCATTTTCCGATTTTGTTCTCTCAGGGAGAACATGGGACTGATGGACTTGATGGAATTGATGGAGAAGAGGTAACTTATTTTGCATATATCTGTACATTCCAATACTATCTTTTGAAATGTAGAAAATAATGTCTGCATTTTTCATCTTTTTCTAGGGATCATATGGACAGTCAGGATTCAAAGGAGAAAAGGGTGAACAAGGCCAGATGGTACAACTTTAAGCTGTATTACTGCTTTAGGTTTAACTTCATGAAAAGTTGGGAAATCAAAATATACATGTGGTGAAATTTTTTTATAAACTCAGTGGAGAGGATAAGCAAATTATGTATCTTTCCTAAAGCACAACTGGAAATATAAGATGTCCATGATTTTAAATTCTAACAGTAGGGTTAGACTGGCTGATAAGATTTTTATAAAATATTTTTCTGAGTAGTATCATAAACTGTGTATTTCATAATTAGATGGAGGAAATTAAACCATTACCCATATTCTACTGTATATTTCACAATAAGAAGGTGAAGGAGGTACAGAAGTCTTCCACAGAAATCTGGAGAACAAAAATAGGATTTTTAAATGTATGTTTTTTTAAAAAAATATTGTTGAAGAAATGGGGGGATGTTGACCCTCTAGATGTTATGAGGTTGCATCTCTCATCATCTTTTGCTAGTTGGTTAGGTCTGCTAGATATCGCCTACCCTTTTACCATTTAACAATTCTGTGGTTATAAAAGGGATACATTACATTGTATAACATCTTAATAACTGTTTCTGTACGTCACATACTTTACATCTTGATATGTTATGATTTAAGCAATTAATGATAATTTGTAAAATATAGTTTTGTAATGTTAAAGTATAAAAATCCCTTGTGACTAGGTTTCTCACTGAATTTCAAAGGCAAAAGAATTCACTGACTTCCTCCACATGCCATCTTTCTGTAAATATTTGGGTAATTGTTCACAAAATCTATGAAGGTTTTGCTTTTTCTAATTTGCACACAATGTCAGGAAAAATGAATGCTCCACCACTATTTCAATTGGAATGGGGACTTTCCCAAATATTTTTCTACAGAAAGCATGAAACAACTTTTTTTAATTTTCTAACTTGTTACTTTCTTCCATATATTTTCAAAATGGTAAAAAAATTCTCATACCAAAAGACCCCCTAAATATATTTTACATATTTTCCCATATTGTTGGCCAACTAGAAACCTCTATACCTCTAATCCCACATTTATTAGAAAGGCAGCACCAGCTTTTGAACCACTTTCAAGAGCAGCCTTTTGTAATTTATACAACAATAAACTTGGAGCCTCTAAAACTCCCCACCTAGCCAAATAATAATAAAGCCACAATTGAAAAGTCAACAACAGATTCCAAGTGTAGACTCTGCAAGGAACCAGATGAAACAACAGATCACATCCTCAGCTGCTGCAAGAAGATCACACAGACAGACTACAAGCAGAGGCATAACACCATTGCTCAGATGATTCATTGGAACTTAGGCCACAGATACCATCTGCCTGTGACAAAGTCTGAAAAGGTTACAGAAAATGAACACGTCAAACTTCTCTGGGATTTCCGAATTCAGACTGACAGAGTTTTGGAGCACAATACTGCTGACCTCACAATCGTGTTAAAAAACAAAGTATGGATCGTCGATGTTTCAATCCCAGGTGACAGCAGGATTGAAGAGAAACAACTGGAAAAGCTGACATGATATGAAGATTTAAAGATCAAACTGCAAAGACTCTGGCATAAGCCGGTAAAGATGTTCCCAGTAGTGATCGACCTTGGCCTGCCCTTAAACACAATTGGCACTGACAAACTTACTATCTGCCAGCTGCAGAAGGCCACCTTACTGGGATCTGCACGCATTATTTGCCGATACATCACACAGTCCTAGACACTTGGGAAGTATCCGACGTGTGATCCAATGGAACAGCCAGCAGAGTGATCTTGTCTGCTGTGGACTCATCTTGTGTTTCTAGTAATAATAATAATAATAATAATAGACATGGTCATTAATTTTGAAAACTTTAGAACTAAGATGAATTTGTCTGAGCGATTTTCAAATAAGTAACTTATCTCTTCAGGGCAACTCGGGACCAAGAGGACCTCCTGGCGATTCTGGGCAGAAAGGCTTCCAAGGAGATCCCGTAAGTCTACTTCAACTCATTAGATCATATTTTCTAAACTTTATATCAGAGGTCCCCAAACTAGGGCCCATGAACTAGATGCCACCCTCCAAAGTCATTTACTCAGCCCCTATCCTAAACTTTAGTGTTAGACAAATTGAAGACAGAAAACAACAGTCCTAACTAACTTCGCTATCCCATCAGCCAAAAGCAGGCCCACACCCCCCATTAAAATACTAGTAAGTTGATATTGGTTAAAACTGTTCTTCATTTTAAATATTACATTGTGCTTTAATGTTTTGCACTACAAATAAGATATGTCAGTGTGCATAGGAATGCGTTCATTTTTCTCCCAAATGATAGTAACCCCCATCCCCAGCAGTCTGAGAGACCTTGAACTTGTCCTTGGCTTAAAAAAGGTTCAAGAGTTCTACTTTATTTCATACAGTCCAACTGTCCTGATTGGGCTGGGGTACTCCCGATTAATCCTACATTGTCCCACTTCTTCAACTGCTGTTAAAATGTCCCTGGGCTCAGTTACACAGGTCAGTTTTTTAGGGTGCAGTCCATTGCAAAAATACACTCTGTGTCTGACTTACAGCAGTAGCAGCCTTAAACCAATTCGGCCATCATCTTCCTTTCCCTGTTACTGTTGCAGCTCCAGGATGATCACAAAGCTCCCAAAGAGCTTCTGGTTTCTAGCCATCTTGGGCACCCCATGCTAACATAAGCAGAAGATTACTAAATCATTTGAATCATTTGAATAAGTCTTGCTTTTATTTATAAGGAAGACAGAAACTTCTTTTTGTTTACTAGGGTAATCCTGGAATCGATAATGGCATAAAAGGAGAAGTTGGTCTTGTAGGGCTGCAAGGAAGTCAGGTAAGTATTGCTATTTTCCCCCTTTCTGGCACATTTGTGCTCAAAGATTACATGGTTAATCTGATCAGTGCTGCAACTTGAAATGACGTTATCTATGTTATAATGGGGAATTCGATCCTATTGATGCCAATGGAATTGCTTGCCCTAAGGCTGAAAAATCAGGGCAGGAGCATAGCTCCAGAGCCATGGGTTGGGACACGCCACACATTATGATTCCAATGAAAATTGGGGCTCTATAATATCTTTTATCAAACTTTTAAAAATATTAGCAGTTTCTTTCTACACAATCATATATATGGTGGTTTTTAAGGCGGGCAAAATGAAACCTCAAAACATCCCCCCTCCCCATGCAAAAAACCAAAAAGAAATGTCCTCCAGTAGGATATGGGTGCATTTTGGTACATGTTGGACCCTGGGGACAATTAACTGTTCCAGAGAGATCTTTTCCTAAAATGGAAAGTGAACAGACAGTAATAGTAACTTCGGGTTTTAACCATAAACTTTGCAAAAACTTTGTTATATCGAATTTTGACAGTGCTCACCTGAATAATTAAATGTTAATTTTTTGTTATCTGTGTATTACCAAATAAGCATGAAAGGTGTAATTTAAAACAATATACCTATTTTCTTTATATTGAAAGAAGTAATGGTGCTTTGCATGTAACCGATCATAAAGCTTATGTGTCTCCTTGGGAGATAAGGTGGCATTATTATTATTATTATTATTATTATTATTATTATTATTATTATTTGTTAATGTGTCTAATCAGGTTTACATGCTTTGGTTATGGAACTGTTGAAGATGACCTCCCAGTTTGACCCCATGCTGCAGATTGTCTAATAAAAGCTGTTGAGTGACTTCCTACCTTGGTCTCTGTGTGTGTGCGCATGCGCATGCATGTTTTAACACCAAATTGGTGACAACAATACTGTTAAATTCTCTATCCACAGGGAGAAAGAGGACCCAAAGGTTCACCAGGTGTGGCAGGATCAAGAGGAAACAAAGTAAGAACTAGTGATAAAGACTAACTATATATGATAAATATTGCATAAACATACTTTTATCACTTTAAAGTATGTATTCATTATTTTTTCCCCAATGACTACCTAGCCCAACCAAAAAAGTATTGGTATCTTGGCGGCAAGTATTATTTAATAGATGCAATAGAAGCCAGATTAAATTGTGGTAAATTGTAAACATTCCGTTTTGTAAAACAAAAAACCACATTTAGCATGATGGAACTTTGTCTGGGTATTCCTTTTTTAATGTAGTTCAGCCAAAATAGTTTTCTTAAAACATCTGCTGAAGATTGGGAAGGACCATGATTATCACTTTCTTCTTTGCTACAACAAAATACCATTTATACTCGAAGATAAGCCAAGTTTTTCAGCCCTTTTTTTGAGCTGAAAAAGCCTCCCTTGACTTATAATGGGGTCACGGCTGGGCAACGGAACCTGGAGGCCATTGCTTGCAATATATGATATATTTCTCTCTCCTCTTATTTCCCTTAACAGTGTGTTTTCTTTTCCAGTCAAAAAGGAGGGAAGGAGGAAAGGGAGATATATTTCATGACCTCCTTGTTTGTATGGCTCTCTTTCAAACCCACCAAATTTCCTGGCTTTTTTGGTGTATCTAAATATTAGGGCTGGGCGGTTTCGTTCGTTAATTTCGTAATTCGTTATTGATTCGTATTTAAATTAGCTTACGATCCGATATTGAGCCATGCAGGAGCAACTAAAAATCGAAACGAATTTTTCAATTTATTTCGTAATTGTTTCGTAATTGGTTCGAAATCGGTTCGAAATCGTTTCGAAATTGTTTCGTTATTATTTCCGTATGTCTGGTGCAAGTTTTATAGTTGTTGTTTGTTTTATCAGTGATAAAAAAATAAATTATCACACCAACAGTCAACAACAGAGGGAGAGGGAAGCTTCAAAAGTTCCCCCTGTCCCATTTGGAGGGTTTTTTTGGGCATATTGCGCAATCGCGTCCGCCATTAATGAATCAATTCGTAATTGTTTCGTAATTGTTTCATAATTTTAAAGAAAAATTTCAGAATTCTTTTAAAAAATGAAACGCAAAAACCCCCTAAAAACGAATCGAATTTAGATACAAATTTTTCCGTGGTTACCCAGCCCTACTAAATATATTAACTTTATATGTGATATATAGGGCTTGCAAATATTGCAGGAAGGAAATATACATATATAGAGAGACGATTTGCAAATGTTTCAGGGGAAAATGCATATGTGAAATTAGTATATATAATTATAGATCCATATCTAGCTCTGCATTGTTTATATAGACATTGAATGTTTGCCTGTTATTATGTTGGAAACCGGCCTGACTTCCCATGGGGAGATAGAGTGGGATACAAATGAAGTTTATTATTATTATTATTAAGTTATTGTTGATACCATATTTTTTGTTGATCCTACTTTTCCACTAACAGAGCTAGTTTACTATTTTTTTCTTTGAAATATGGTAAATATTCAAAAACGTTTAACCTACTGATGCCTCAATTAATGTAATTTTATTGGTATCTATTTTTATTTGAAATTTACCAATATCTGCTGCATTTCCCACCCTCAGCTTATACTCAAGTCAATACTTTTTCCCAGTTTTTGGGTTGGCTTATACTAAAGTATATATGGTAGTTTTTGGTGGCTGGAAGCGGAAAAGCAATGTGAAATATTCCAGTGTTTAATTTTATGAAGTTCTAGAAGAGTTGATGGGAACTATTGTCCTTTTTGTTGTTTTTGAACTATAAGATATTTTACTCAATTAAAATTTATTTCAGTACAGTCTCTATATTCACTGAGATTAACAAAAATAGTGGATAAAAACTGCTGTTTTAAAAAAATGAGAGAACATATTTTTACGAATCTCTAAACCCTCTATCATAACTCTATTGTTGGTCAGCTTCTGGTGGAAGCTAACCATAGTCACAATGAGGGACCTGGAGATTTTAAACAAATCCATGAATAATAAAATCCACAAAACTCTAACATGCAAATGTGGAGGACCAATAGTATTAGTCATAGGCAGGCCCGTAGCCAGGATTTTGTTTTTTTGGGGGGGGGGCTGAGTTTGGTTGGGGGGGCTGAGTCTGAGTGAAAGTGGGTCTACCCTAGCAAACCTTTTGTATCGTTACCCCAATACCCCCCATGCATATGGGATATATTGAGCATGGTGATCAGATCATGATATGAATAAACATAACAGTTTAAATAATGTACCAGTAAGACCTTCTCATGGACCACCATCAGAATTTCGGGGGGGGGGGCTGAAGCCCCCCAAGCCCCTCCCCCTGGCTACATGCCTGGTCATAGGCAACAAATATATATATATATATATACAGTAGGTTAGTTGGTTGTATTTCTCTTTTGGCTCTCAGACCACATTTTTTCCAAAGCAATGATTGGCAGAAAAACTGCTCTGTTGGGCATTTGTATGGAGATTAGAACATTTCTATACAATCTCCACTGACCACATGTTCCATTAACATAAACAAAGCCAAAGCAAACAAAAACCAATAAATTAAAGGGAGAATTTTTGTATCAAACTTTTTTTTAAAAAAAAGACAAGTGGCTGTTACATTGGTGTGTTATATAAAACTCTTCAAGTGACAAGGTTATATAATGCCATTCTTACTTTCTATGGATTTTACAATCCAATGTGACTTTGGGAAACTGATCTGATCTAGTGCATGAGTGTTAAACATGTCATTTAAAGTTAGATCCTATAGATAACTAAGATTCCTTCTGTTTCAGGGATCAGACGGAAGAAGAGGACCTCCAGGAGAACCAGTATGTTCATCTTAATTTAATAAGTTTAGTATGAGGCATTTTATGTTGAAATACGTGACCTTCCATTACCCTAGAAACAGCAAGAAGTTAATAGTAAGAGAGAAAAGTGAAAAAGAAAAAAGTGGCATTTCTACACCATTATAACATAATCTGAGGACTCTTACACACATTGAAAAGAAAAATGAGTTCCCTTGGAACTGAGGAGACCAATATCCACTAATTGCAGTAATGCAAATGTATCTAAACGAACTCAATGTATGCAAACAAATACAAATGTCAATAATCCATAGAATATGTTACATTCACATTAAACAGAAATAATTTGTTCTTTTCTTGAAAGATGAGAAACATTTTCTTCATATGTGTGGAAGTAATCCTTGTGTCTTTACTACAGATGAGTAGACTACAGGTCCTTGCACAATCAATGTCCTATTTTCTTTGTTACATAAGAGTAGACTCCGACATTCACAGTAAGTGTCCTATTACCTTTATTACACAAGAGTAGACTCCAACATTCAACCGGTTTCAACTCACAGGAATCTTCATCAGGTAGTTGGATCTATAAACAGTACATATTATTAATACACACATATAATTGATCAACTGGAGACATTAGTTTGTAAGTATATATATACACACACTACTTATTCATTTATCAAAAGGCTCAATATTTGAGGCAAGTGGTCTACTGACAGTGTTCTGGAAAAGAAGATCCTGAAGGGAACATACATAGTGGCTAAAGTTATTATTACATTGTTACATGAATCATATACCATTCATAACAGAGATATTATATATATATATATATATATATATATATATATATATATATATATATATATCACATCACAACAAGTCCTTGTTATCCAGTATACTTTGCAAAGGCATTTTATTCTGTAGTGAATATGGAATCGAAATAACTCAACCCATTAGTAATATAGCAAGTCCATTGGTCAGGCGGTGGTGATGTCATTATTAGTTCTGAATACATTTAGGGAAACACCTCCACTGTTTTAAACAACAGTCATATGAATTAGTGTTGTTTAATCCTTTTGGATGTTCTGTTTGCAGAACAGAAGGATTCCGGTTGGAAAAGCTTAGTTTGGAAATCAGTGTCCCTGGGTGGTGTGACCCCCTTTAAAACCTGTACTTGAAATGATTCAGGACTATGGTCCAGGTCTACGAAATGCTTGTACAAAATAGAATTAGTGGAATGTTTTCTTATCTTGCTTTTGTGCTCTATGATCCTGAGTCTGACTTCCCTGCTCAATTGACCAATGCATATAAGTGAGCAGGGGCATGTTATGACATATATTACACCTTCAGTGGAACAGGTAGCAAAGTGATTGATTTTGTATTGAGATTTAGTGTGTTGGCTCTGAAAGAACTTAGTTTTTATGAATTGTGAGCATATTGAGCAATGATGACATGCAAAGTTGCCTATCAGATTGGGTTTAGTGATCACTTGCTTGGGATTTATGTCTGAATGGATCAAAATATCCCTGATGTTTTGTTTTCTCCTTTGAGCAATGAGGGGGGTCTCTCACAACCCGGTATATCTCTCACCAAATTCCAATACTTTTTCACTGTTTTTATTGTGTGTTTGGATAGGTTAGTCAAAGTGAGAGGCCATACTAATCTGTTATCCCTAGGTTTGATCTTATCCTCTAGTATAGTAGATCTAAAGACTTTGGAAACTTTGGTGCTAGCCTTGTGAATAATAATAAAAGTAATCATTTTATCAGCCACTTCAGAAAATATTTACCACTGAGAATTGTCTCTTCATATAGGGGCAGAAAGGAGTCCCTGGTCCTGAAGGTTTGCAAGGAAAACCTGGATTTCAAGGTCCACAGGTACCTTTTATTACTACTGAGAATTGACAGCAGACACAATATTAATCCTATTGTGGATGTTAAGAGAAAGTGCCATAACAAGTGATAATATAAATAGTTTGCATGCAGAAACTTTCATCCTTTTCAGGTTGCAAATGCTGTGAAAAATCAGGTGTTATAAGCTGCTATGGGAGATATATGAATTATCACCTTGACATTACTTCTTTCATAACAATTGCAGCTACATTTCAAACATTGTGCCTGAAACTGAAAAAAAAAAAAACGGTGATTGGCCATTGTTTAACATATTAAAAATTGTAAAAAAAAACAAACATATGAGAATGACAAAACTCAATGACAATGAGATATGAAATACACAGTTAGGTAAAATATTATGTGGAAGAATGAAATCTGAGAATTTTGCATTATTGTTGAAAAAGGGGAAAAAAAGAAATTTGGATATTTTGGCTTCTCCCACAAATACCCAAATATCTTTTTGTGCTGTGTTTGTGCATTTAAACATATTCTGAATGATTTAACTGTGGGAAAGATATTAGTACACATCCTTGTTGTGTCAGCAACAAAAATATAATGAACTCTAAAAGTCTATTAGACACCCAGACTACTTTATTCCTCACATATACATAGGAGAAAATATTTCTTTCTGTGATAATCTGTGTAAGTTTCCATCTGAAAAAATGAACAATCACAACTTTTCTGGTATACATTTGCGTGAACTTACTGAATCTGTTTTTCAGGGAACAGTGGGACTTCCTGGTTTAAAAGGAGAGAAAGGACAGCCAGGGAAGGAAGGCTCTCAGGTAAAATTACCTCTGTATGTAGTTTCTTAATACAAAACTTTCTCAGAAGTTTCAAAATGGGAAACTGAGTCAACTTTTAGGGCACCACTCTTCCAACTAATTCAACCTGTGCTATCTTCCCCCAAGATCTTGTTTCCTTGAAATAAAAAGGGAAGCATATCAAAGTGATAGTTCATACTGAAGATGCTTATATTGTCCAATACATGCATCCCACTTTGGACCGAGAAGGCTCTAAAGGCTCAAACAGGATTCAATTTCCTGAGCAGCAAGTCATTGGACAATTGTAATGATTTTATGAAAAATAATTAATTTACACTTAAGGTTTCTAAAAAACTGTGAATTGTTGTGATACAGCTCCTTTGGTTTTGGTGGGGTTTGCCACTATATAGCAGAGTCACAATGGTGTGTATTTATTCCATTCTTGAGAGGGCTAATTGTAGCAATGTATGGGATTTGCATTAGGCTTCTTCAAAACAATATTTTCAAAACTTGGACATGGTTTGCTGAGGAGGTCCTATGGTTTGGAGAGCAAATTTCTTTTCTGTTTTTTTAAAATCTTAGTTATTATGCTAAATTGCATAAAATTCAATTTCATATTAATTCCAAGTACTTTATTTATTTAAAAAGATATAAAATAGAAGGATAATTTTGGAATTAAAAAGAAGCACCCTTGAAGATGGGAATAACATTTTGCATCTGGTGCCAAAAATTGCCATTTGAGCTCTTGTTTTTAGGCTGCAGAAAGTGGTTTCTTGCAGTGTTAAAGTGATGCAATAAGTCAAAAATACTGCTACATTGACTTAAGAGGAATACATATTGTTTTTGGACGAGTCATGGGCTTCACTGTCCTTCACTTCTCCATCCTGAAGCTGTTTTCCATAGCCATAACTTCTCACTTTCGCCCCGTTAGCTTCCTTTCAAAAACATTCCAGGTAACTATGCAGTTTTGTAGGTAATTCCTGGAATTTACATAGATATCCTTTGATGATTAAGCATTTCCTTACTATTTGCAAGACTTGAGATTTCTGTTTTACAAAATGTTTCAAATTGTGCAAGCTTCTGCAAACCAAAACAAAGTTTGCCAATCAAAAGTACTTATGATTGGCAAACTTTGTTTTGGGTTGCAGAAGCTTGCACAATTTGAAGCATTTTGTAAAACAGAAATCTCAAGTATAGGATATCTATGTAAATTCCAGGTTGGAAGGAGCTTACCTTGGTTGCGGAGGGCCTGCTGTCCCTTGAGGCAACTGGGCAGGTAGGGACCCTGGGGGAAGAGGCATGGCTGGGTGGAGGGCAGGGCAGGGGCAGCAGAGGAGGGGTGGGGGTGCTCCATAAGCCATGTAGCAAGAGGCACCAGCTGTGCCCATGAACTGGCCCGAGAAGTGGATGGTGAAGGTGCTGAGGCACTGCTCCTCATGGTCTGAGACGCTCCAGCTGGGCTCCTGCTTGATGAAGCCTGAAAGGGGGGGGGGGTGGAGGATGGGGCGGCAGAAGGGGTCTGCCAGTGAGCCATATGTGGCACCTGAGGTGAAGTCCAGCATGGGGCCCCAGTGTGCCAGCATGGGGCAACCCACGTTGCCTGGAGGAGGTGGCAAAAGCATTTTGTGGTCACACACATCGGAACCCATGGCCTCCGCCGAGCCCGCTTTGTGCTGCATGGGGAACTACTCTCCACCACAGGAGGAAGAGGAGGAAGGCTTGCCCCACACACTGAGGGGCTCTGGCGGGAGGCACCAAGCTGAGGAAGAGGTGGAGGTGATGGTGCTGCTCAGGATCCCCTTTGGGACGGGCAGCCCAGCCCCCAGCTCCAGCCTTGCCAGCACCAGGGTGAGGTTGGCCTCCAGGGTCACCCTTTGGGCTCTGAAGGAAGGAAGCAAGGAATGGAGGGAGGGAGGCAGGGAAGCGCCATGCTCAGGAGGCAGCAGGCGGGGTGCCTCAAGGGCACCCCTTGGGGATTTGCACTATGCACAAATGCGTATCTTGCCTATTGCTTCAGCCATCCCTGAGTACCAGAGAAGTTGAGAAAGAACGGAGCATAGTAGTGAGTGTTCTCAGAAGCCTTCCAAACATTCCAGAGAGAATTTTTGTTAATTGTTTACTTTTACTCATACTAAGATGTTTATTATAATATTATTTTATTTTAAGGGAAATTCTGGAGTGGAAGGCCCCAAAGGAAATATAGGGAAACCTGGACCCAGAGGAAATAAAGTATGTTTTCTAATTTTCCATTATCAAACTATTCAGAACAAAATGTATTATATGCCTACTAACTATAAACAGAGAAAATTTTCTAATTCAGATTCTTCAAAATCCATGTTTTACTCTCTGAAGAATAATAAATAATGTTTCCAATGTTTTCCCCCTTGTACATAAGCTCTTTGTAGTAATAACCAGTAGCTAGTTTGAACTGTAGATGATCTGATCTAATTTTGGAGATAACATACTTCCAAGTGTCTGGATGTTGCAGAGGCAGTCTCAGTTAACCATCTGTTGTTCCATAATTTCAGCTGCTTTTAAAAATCCTAGTTTCTCTCTCCTTCTCCTACTTTAGCACTTTGTCCTCAGCTTCCTTCAAACCAAATTCAAAGTGCAGCAGTTGTTAAGTCATCTGTGAGGAGAGGAGAAAGCAAAATATTGCCTTTCCCTGTACAGTCAGGCAAAAGCAAATTTGCAACCTCTGCCAGCTTGCCTGATCTTTCCCATTACTGTTGCTATCTTGACCACATGTGTCCTGGTTGGTTGGCCACTTGTGTTCTGGTTTTCATGTGTGAAATGTTGGAGAGTATGAAATAAGAGTTCAGCACTTTGGATAACCCTTTGAAGTTTAAAACTCACAAAAGCCTGACTACCCCACCAGTAACTACTGACTTTCCAATCTAAAGTATTACATAACAGGCACTGTTTTCCTGAACTAAAATGCTGTTCCAAAGAGCATTTAACAAGACAGCCTTGATTTATATGCAGTTCAAGCAGAGGTGTTACTTTGTGAGATTAAGCTCCCAGAATCCCCAATGACCATTCCAGATGTGGATTTTGGGGGGCTGTAGCTAACAAGGGCAACTTTTCCAAGCTTTGCTATTCAAATGCAACCGAAAGAAAACAAACACCAGAACCAGCAATGGAGCAGCATAGCAGCAACTGGGCTGTAGTCAGTCTCCACTCATCTCAGTTCTTAGAGGATATGTTAGTGCACAGAACTCTTTGTTAATGTCAACAGTATTTATTTATTTATACAGCAGTTAATTAAAATAAATATTGTAAATTTGGCTACTGCATTAATAAGGTATAGTTACTTTAATGAATGAATAGATAAATAAACTACAGGTAACATTATTCCAACAGCACCATAGATTTATTTTAATATTGGAAGTATATGATTTATTTATTGGTTATTGTCTGCCTTCAGATCATTTACAACATATGGCAACATCAACACAAACCTATCACACAGTCTTCTTGGCAATATTTATTTGGAGGAGTTGTCATTGTTGTTTTCCTTTGAGGCTGAGAGAGTATGAATGGCCTAAGGTCACATAATGGGTTTCTCTGGCTTAGTGGAGATTCAAAGCCTGGTCTCCGGAGTCATAGCCAAACACAACCATGCTGGCTCTTAATATATCTATATTTGGGGATTATTAGGCCCCTTTTACAGCTATATAAAATCCAGATTATCTGCTTTGAACTGAATTATATGGCAGTGTAGAAGAGCCCTTATTCAAAATCTCAACTCCTATTCTGATTCATCAACTTTAATTGTTGGCTTTTTTCCCTCACATCTGATGTGATTTTGGTCAACAGGGAGAGCCTGGAGATCCTGGAGTGAAAGGAGAAAATGGCTTTCATGGTCGACGGGGAATAAGGGTTTGTTGGTTTTGTTCATGATATTTCCAAAAGCTGAAAAATAGAAAGTGCTCTTGATTTGATAGGTTGTGTAAAAGTCCTTTCTAGACTGGCATTCATGCGAATTAGTCACCCTAGTGCAATTGATGTATTCCAATCCCAATGGCTCAGAGCAAATTATTCCAACACACCACAAAGAGACCTTAGCAAATGAAAACATGGGTTTAAATTTTCTAAGCTATTTTCCCAAATCTAAAGCATTGTTTTATACATGGAAGTTGTGCTCCAGCAAGATACAGTTGTTATTTGAACAAAAGAATGCCTAGCTCGGTTTTCACGGTTGTCTAGATACTGATTTTAAGATATGTTGTGTTATAGCCCAACCAAAGTAATATTTTCCAGGCAAAAGAAAGCTTTCTTTGGGCATCTAAACTGCAATTTTGTAATGAGGACAGTTTCTTTTAAAGTGTTTCTAGAGGACACAAGGTGTTATGTGATGGAAGGCTGTCCAGTCCAGGTTTAAATAAGAAGCAGAGAGGTTTAGTACAAAGATCAGGGACCTTGACTCTATTCAGCCACAATTATAACCTTGAAAGCAGATTTCTGTGATAGTACAGACAGGAGTTTAGTTGGTCTTTCCCACTTATTTGAAATTATTTAGAAAACCCTAATTTTCATCTTACATATAAATTCATATACTAGTACAACTTTCCATATCAACAAGGATATGTTTCTGGACTTGTGCTGTCGCACGCTGGGCCTGTGCATAAAACTGTAGACAGGACATAAATTCTGTGTGCCCAACGGGATGCCAGGGCTGCCTCAGATTAAAGGCCTTTGGATTTCCTTAAAACAGAGTCTCTAGATTGCTCAAAGGTTCAAGTTCTTTATTAATGAAAACAAACAGGTACTTTTAGGCTTTCTTAACAGTCTATTAGCTCTTTCTCAATCTTGTCCACAGGGAACAGACACTATCTTCATAACTGTAACTAATGGGGAAATCCTTAACCTCTAATCTGGGCAGTCTGTCTTTGCCTCTGTTGGCGTGGAGCCCCAACTGCTTCTGGCTTCCGCGAGTGACCCTTACCAAGCAGAGCTTTGTAGATTTCCAGGGAAAAGAAGTTCAGGTTTTGGTAATGTCTGGCTGAAGTCCTTCAGCAAAGGAGCTGTAGGGCTGTATAACCCCAGCCAAGCTGTGGGCTGTATATCTCCCCAGCCAAGCCGTAGAAGACGAAGCTTTCTACAGGAGCTCTTGGTATTATGTCCTGCATGAAAGGCTTCTCTGTGTGGACTGAACCCAAAATGGCTCCTATTCCCTCCAAAAACCCAAAAGGGGGTGTGACCAGGGAACCTAACTATAATTGACAGGTGGCTTGCCCTATGATTGCAGCCAAAAGAAGCCACCTATCTGCAGAGTCCCTGAAACTTAGGACTACAACAAACATTCAATGCCAAGCAAACAAAATTGGAGCTCCTGGTACAGCTGTACCTGCACAGGACTTACCTTTGGAAATGTAAAACTGCAGATGACACTATGTAACAAAATTTGAAAAAAAATCTGTTCCTAGTTTCTAAGTGTTATTTCCTGTTTAATTGTGTGGTAATTATTTTGAAAGTGGTTGTTATACCCCAGAAACTTCATTTTTATGGCTGCCACAAACTATGTTAAATTGGTTGAGACTCAATGAAATATTCATTGAAAAATATAGCAAAATGTGCTGCAGGATGTCCCGCAAAAACAATGTTTTTGCAGATTAATAAACTTTTTCCATATTTTTTAATGATAGAAACAATTAGGAAGCAACATTTATAACCCAGGAACAAAAATTGTGTTACACAGTATAACTGCAATCCTTATTTAGTTATATGACTTCAGGTGGACCATACCATAGAATCGCACTGGAGGACCCAGAAAATGCTTAGAGAAAGCACTACTCTAGCATTTTGAGGACCTTCGTGTGATTCTATGGTCAACATTTTTTGGAAACAGAATATAATATTGTGGAGAAATAAAACTGCAGGAACAAGTCCCGTGGATTTAGGGATCATACTATATGAAATTTTATGGCAAGTGATACCTTATTTTGCTCTCATTTTTGGTTACACGTGCTTATGTATAAAGGGATATTTTATCATAAATTAACTCATTTGTCTGTTGTGATCATAGTCACTAAAGCTGTCATAGAAATGGTCCTGGAACTCCATTAACAGAGAGAATGATACCCAAGGTCTGACACCCTGGGTAAAGGGGCAGTTATCATATGAAAAATTCAATTTACGGTTCTAAGGAGAAGATTGCAAGCTTTATTTATATAAAGGAAAATACATAAAGGTAATCTACTGACGTGGTTCTCAGCCTTTCTTTCACCATGAAATAAACTAGCAAAAAGTAGAAACCAGTTAAAAACCAGTATGAACCAGCAAAACACAGTATAAAGTAAGAACAACTAAAAGAAGAATAAACTAGTAAACAATATAAATCAATAAATATAGATAAAACCAGTAAAAAAGTATATGAACCAATAAAAATAACTGTATGAACCAGTAAAAGAAAACACTTGCATGTTCTCAGCGTTTGCAGAAATACATTTCTCACCCAGGTACTCTCACAGCTAGTTTCCACTTTGATAGTTTTTAATTGGCAATAGGTTAAAAAACAGTTTTCCAAAAGAAGCATGGAAAATGTTGTCCCATTTGCCTTTCCAGTTTGCTTTTATTCATTCACTCATTAGTTCATTCAGATTTTACTGTACAAAATCATAACATTTCTTGAATCCTTCGCGGACCCCCTGTGACGACATCATGGCCCCCCCAGGGGTCATTGGATCACAAGTTGAGAAACACTGGTCTACTGTATAAATGTAAAACATAATAAGCAACGGTAATTGAAATCTAGTGAATTCAGAAAGAACTGAAAGAGAAGTGCTTATCTGTTTTAGGGTGAAGATGGAGCTGCTGGATATGGCAGACAAGGGACTAAAGGATCAAAGGTAATTACATGCAAGCACTGCCAATAATTTTATTTGTGTCTTTTAGAAACTAGTTCAGACAAGGTACCAGAGCTGCAAATCAATATTATATTGTGGTTTTGTGAGACATTTACCTGTCTCCATCAGAGAACGCTGGTGCCACAATGAACTACCAAGCTCAAGATTCCACAGGATGGAGCCATGGCAGTTAGAATGGTGTAAAACTGCTATAATCCTGCAGTGTAAATGGTTTCCAAGTAGTATTACAATCAACAAGCACTTTAGACCTTTGAGAGTTTTTTTTAAAAAAAGGAAGTAAACAAGAACCAACTTCTATTTATTTTTTATTGTTAAATACTAATCAAAGAAGGGGACCTGAAATGGTGTTAAGATTCAAACAAGTTTTTAAAAATAAGAAAAATTGTGTTTGTCAGTTTATGCTTAATTTTCAAGACTTGTGGACATATTTTTCTTCAATCAAGAATTTGGGAATTAATTAATTAGTTGCTGCTAACTGTGAGAGAAATAAAGTTGAACACTGTGAAAGCCATCCAGTGCATGGCTATCAGTCTCCTCCCAGTAGCTTCATGAGAACCACCACTCATCTTAACATCCCCCCAACAACAGCAAGAACATCCCTCTGGGCAGCTGAACCAGGAAATCCCAGTTGGAGGCCCCTCCACAAGAGTCTTCCTCCAGGGGCAAACCAAGAATGGGCAACTTGGAAGTCTCTGAACAGACTCAGAAGTGAAGTGGGCGGATCAAAAGACAACCTGGCAAAATGGCACTACCTAAAATAATCCCCTTATGTGACTGTGGAGCAGAACAGACAACTCCACATCTGTATGCTTGTCCACTATGCCCTGCCTCATGTACAGAGGAAGAATTGTTGGAGACTACAGACAATGCTGTTCCTGTTGCCCTTTTTTGGTAAAAAAAAAATATTTAGCTGCTTACGCTCCTTCTTTTTTTATACTAATTTATGCAATGCTTTTGATACGAAATAAATAAATACATAAATAAATAAATAAATTACAAGAAGGTTTTTCTAAAAGAGTACTTTCCTGGGAAGCCCAATGGGTGTATATACTATTTTAAAACTATTTTTGTGTAGTTTGTGAACAGCCTTGTTGAGAAACAGGCCGAAGCATCACAAATCTATTTATCATAATTGCTTAGAATAGACCGATGTCTCCTGCTTATTATGAGAACTATATCAAATAGGCCTTTAACATGTTAGTTACAGAGGATAATTTGTTATGACATGATTTGATAATTGTTGTTGATTTTGTTTGTTGTATATGATGTGTTTTAATTGCCTATGATATGACATTGTTGTGATAACCTGTGTTGTGTAAACCGCATTGAGTTGCCTGACTGGGCTGAAAAATGCGGTATAGAAATAAAGCAAATAAATAAATAAATAAATAAATAAATAATATTGTTTGATTATACCTGGTTTATTTTGTCTCTATCCTGTTTCCTGAAAACAGTCTTTATCTTAAAGTAGCAATAAGTATTTGTGAAAGAAACTGTAACAAATGTAATTAAATTTCAGGGAGAAGAAGGTTTTCCAGGTGACATTGGACGACAGGTATCTCTGTGCATGCATTCTAAGGTCATATATTGAACTGAATATGTATACCCTCATTACAGATACAATACATGCATGACTTTTACCCTTGGATAATATCCAACGGTGGATTTCTAATTTGTGTTGTAATATATCCCTATTGGAACTTTTGAGAGTTAATCCTTTGTCTTTACAGGTCTAAAACAGAAACAGCACAGCAGCTCTCCATTCTCTGTGGACCTTATATCTTTTCCTTTCACTTATCCTTGCCAATGCTTAATTCTGAAACCTTTCTTTAGATCTTCAAAATGAAGTTAAAATGCAATGCAGATTTTAATTATGGCTCCACATGTTAATCTGCCATGCTTTGGTTGATGAATACCTAGGCACTAATTTTGAATGGAGAGAACAATTTTGAATCAAAGAGGCTGATCTTTACGGTTGTTCTACAAGTGTGTTTATATACATATTACAATGATTGTTGTTAATTTTTGCTGTAGCTGCTACTGAGCAATGAACACACATGGGGTTTCTTTGCTTCAGTCAAACATAATTTGTTAATTCATCTACAATGGCAAATTTCAGTTGAATTTGAGACATAATACCTTCAAATGTGTTTCCTTGCTAGAACTTAATCATGTTCCCTTTATATTAAATTTAACAGGGTGAACCTGGAAACATAGGCATTCCTGGAGAACCTGGTCCAAAAGGAGCCAGAGGAAGAATGGTATTATGTATTATAATTTATGCAAAGCTATTATATTATTATTGTTAGTTGTTTAGCAGTTTTAGTTGTTACCCATCTTCATTCTACCACCTTTCACTATGCTATTTATTTTTCACCTTATGGCTTGGATTTAAACACCCCCAACCGCCCGATTAAAAGGGTTTAAGCCTACTATGTGCCTTTGTATCATTTCTGATCAGAGAAAAACTATCATGGGGTTTTCTTGCCCAGGTTTGTTCAGAGGGGGCTTTTTGATAGCTCTCTTCGGAGATTGAAAGAATGTGTCTTCCCCAAGGTCACCAAGTGAGTCCCAGTCAGTGTCTATGGCTGAGCAGGATTTAAATTAATCGTGACTAATTTAAGTCTCATTGGCTTCCATTTCTCTTCAGTAAACATGGTGAATTTTTAATTCAATCCATTGAAACAAAATATTTTTGAATGATCCACTCCTTTCTCAATGGGTTCTCAAGGCCTCAGAAAAATCTGATCACTAGCTTTCTTGTTCTAAAAGCTTGACAGTCATGAGTGTAAAGTCATGCTTTGTCCCATCACAAATTGCAGATTTTTTTCATGGTGTTGAGGGATGTTAAGGCTCATATGAAGATCAAAAATCAGTCTGGTCTGCCAAAAAAGAAACGTAGGCATGATGGCAGTGATCTCAATGTTGAACTTGAATATCAGTTTCCCGGGATGTGTACAAACTGAAATAAATTCTGTAGGCTGAGAGTCATCTTGACCCGTGTGCTATATCAATTACAACTACAAACAACTGAATTTCCACTACAATTATGATCTAGCAAATGTCTGACTATGGCCAAATAAAGTATCCAATTTTGGCAGTAATTTTTCAAAAAAAATTGGGAGCTGGAAAATAATTTGTACATGTCTGTATATGTTTGTGTGTGAGAGAGAGCAAGAGCATGTACTTATTCATATGCTTTCTTAACGGCATATTCCTCTTCTTGTGCCATTCTAATTAACTATTTTTAGTACTGGAAGGCTTCTTTTCTCCCATAGTTTTAAGAGAGATGTGAATGTACAAATTTATGTTGTTACTGCATACAAATAAGCCATTTATTGCCTCCAGGGTATCTCTGGACCAAAAGGCGCACCAGGTGAACCAGGAGCATGGGGTTATCCAGGACGTCCGGTAGGTATTGCTGTAACACAGTGTATGCAATTTTATCCACATCAGGGATATGGGGATATGTCTCTTTTCATTCTCCAGGTGATGCAACCATCTTTCCTTCTCAGACAAAAAGTCTGTGGAGTCACCTGGGCTTTTAGCTTATATATTACATCACACCCCAAGACAAATTTCCTTCCCCCAAACAATCACAAGGTTGTCACACTGTCACAAAGGGATGACCAATGGAGGCATGCACTTTCCTCATATTACCCAAGGGTACTATTCTATTATAGCTATTTCCTTTTTTCTCCCTGGCATGGCTTTAGGGTGATTTTTGCCCCAAAATTCAACAACCCCCTCCCTCCATGTGTGTACAACATTGCAACAGTGCTCTTCTCCTCCACCCTAAAATACTTCAGAACCCCTAACCTTTGTAATACCTTTGTTTCCATCTATTTTTGCTCCAAAATAATGAGAGACAGAAGTGATGTAATTTCATTTCCATCTGCCATTTAAAAGGATAAATGGACGGAAACCAAGGGGTTGGGAATGAGAAATTGGTCCTGCCCTTGCTCCTGTGCAGTTGCCCATCATGCGAGGGCATACATCTTAAAGAAACATTCTCTTTACCCAAATGCTACTGACTTTGCAAAGCAATGAAACCACTAACAGAATAAAGTAGTGACCTCTAAAAATTATTCTCTTCAGATTTGCAATTATTCTCCTCTGGAATGGTTTGAATCGATCCTGTTAAATTGCTCTGTTTCCATTCTATTTCCTATGCTATTATACGTTGTTATCCACCTTATTGAACCACCTTTTCCTTTAACCAGCTCACATAGTGGTCCTCTCCCCCCCCCCTCCAAAATTAGTCTGCTGTTGCTTTTGATGCTTGTTATTATTGTTACGCTGTTTTATGCTGTTTTGTGCTGTTTTGTGCTGTTTAAATTTGTTATTGATTTGCTTTTAATTGTATTTTGCTTTGGGCTTGGCCCCATGTAAGCCGCCCCGAGTCCCTTCAGGGAGATGGAGGTGGGGTAGAAAAATAAAGTACTTCTTCTTTTTGTGTGTGAAAGTTTAGCCTGCTTTTATCATAATGATGTTTGATTGGCGCTTATGACACTAACTTATCAGAACCAATTTTATTTGTTTAGATTCTTAATGGATAGTTGAACTTATCCTTGCTCTTCCTCTACTACTGTGATTAATTTTGTTTTCATTTTTGTTGGTGTGGTTTTTAATGCTTTGGTTCCCAATATGAGACATTTCTAAAATCAATTACACCAATCAATTCTTGATTCAATTAAATCAGTTACAATAACACATAGCTAAATGTGCCTTCTCTATGTTAAATCAGGGTTTGAAGCTAGTTTTGTAAACCCACATATGAAGTATCCATAGATAGCGTTAGCTTCAGTCAAAGCATAATTACTTGCCATGGGGAATGTCAGAGAATGGACGGTAAGAATTTGCAATGTTAAGAAGTGAGAAGAGTGTAAGGCACCCCTGAGCCCTTTAGCATGAGTGAGAGATCGGATAATGTTGTGTATGCACATCTTTTGGCTTTGAACGAAAATAGCTAGGCTAATATATTAATAATGCCATGGGAAGTCCCTGTGCTGTGGATTTGATGGAAGGGGCATATATATTAGAATAGTAGAAAATTAATATCTCAAACAAGTATGTGGTGATCTTCAGTTAAACTTCCATTTCTCTAATATCAATATTATCATTTTAGGGTCCAAAAGGATCACAGGGTCTGCCCTCATTTTCGGTATGTATGACTAATATGGCTAATTTTGAACATCCTCTATTCCAGAAGTGAGCGCACACACATAAAACATACCCTCCATACACACAGAGACAAATACTTCCTCTAAAATAACAAGTATTGCTCTCTTCCATTGCATCCTCACAATTTTGTGAGATAGAATGGTCTAATTTAGGTTTATACTGTTTTCCTATAATTACATCATTGTGACAGTAATACATTTGAGAAATCACTGCATCTGTTAGATTTCTTTTGTTTGATTTTGTCATTTAACTTTACTTTGATCTTTCCCCCTTCAGTCCTGTGAACTCATTGAGTATGTGCGGAGACATAGCCGTAAGTAGCTCGTTTTGATTTCCAGTGCAGAAAAACCAGATGTTTCCATAGTATAAAGAGAGATCTTATGTATTGGTCTCTTTATTTGCAATGAAATAAATTAATGATTGCAAACCTTCATTGGTTCAGCTGCTTTGAGTGACAAGTAATGATTGGTATGAGAGAGATTTAGTTGGTGTGTACCTTGGCAGTCCCCTTTTGAGTGAAGAGTGCCCTCACTAGGCTCACTTGGGATACTTCAGGAAGTGACTTCCTCTCCCTTATAAAAGCTTTGGGGGTTTGGGGGAGGAATCCTGGACTGGTCTTCCACACTATGATCGGCCAATAAGGACATCCCATGATATTGGACTGAACCTCAGGATCAGGTGTTTTCGGTGCAATAAGGAGGTGGTTAGGGGGGTTATAAGATGTTCCCCCATTTTATAGCCCTGAGAATAAAAAACAAAAAACAAAAAATAGTATTAGGAAAATAGAATGACCCTTATTTTACTCCTTCTCATGTATCTGGTGTTATTATTTTGTAACTGGTATTACAGTAGGGTTTCACTTATCCAAATTTCTGTATTAATCAACTCAGTCTGCCTCCTGCCTGGATCCACAGCTATTTTAGTACATTGCAATGCTTTGGGGCTAAATTCATAAATACAGTAATTACTACATAATGTTGCCATATATTAAACTGCTTTTTCTGTCGATTTGTTGTAAAATGTGATGCTTTAGTGCTTAATTTGTAAAATCATAATGTAATTTGATGTTTAATAGGCTTTTCCTTCATCGCTCCTTATTATCCAACATTTTCGCTTATCCAACATTCTGCTGGCCTGTTTTTATCAGATAAGTGAGACTCTACTGTAATTCAATAACCGTTGCTCTCCATTTTTAAATAAATTCTTGCCTCCAAATGCTCCCAGAGTTCCTTAGTGAGATGGAGAAATTTTGCCATTTTTGGCCAAAGTGAGGTCTTTTTCTAACAGGAAATAATTTTGAACTTTTAAAAAATGTCACACCATTTTCTTTGAAAAAAGAATGACCATTCTTGAGCATAAAACAACCAATGGGAGCAAAAAATGTAGCAAAATTTCAAGTACAACTTTTGTTTTTTTTTTAAAGTGGCCTCAATGAAATGAAATGAAATTTTTAGACCCTCCTATCTCCCCGAAGGGACTCAGAGCGGTTCACAACAAAATACACAATGGCAAACATTCAATGCTGACAGTAATATATAAGCAAATCAAAAAACAAATCAAGAACAACTCAATAAATTATAAACCAACATAAATGAACAAGACATGACACAATGCACATAATTATTAACATATTAAATCCTTAAAATATCATTTAAAATCTTTAAAATTTTGGGGGGAGAGAAGGAAAATAGCAGGTTACCAGGGTGGCTGCTAGCAGCTAGGCAAGGTGCAAATAGATGTACTTAATCCTCCTCTTCCTCTATAAGCTAAATTGTGTAGATGTGTTTTTAATAACTTTTTGAAGGAGAGGAGGGAGGAGGTCAATCTTAACTCTTTAGGAAAGGAGTTCCAGAGGTGGGGAACGATCACAGAGAAGGCCCTCTCTCTCATTCCCACCAGCGATGCTTGAGACAGGGGTGGGACCGAGGGGAGGGCCCCCTCCTCTGACCGGAGTGCTTGTGTTGGTTTGTATACAAAGATGTGGTCTTTCAAATAGTCTGGGCCTGAACCATTTAGGGCTTTATAGGTAATAACCAGCATTTTTTATTTAGCCCAGAAGCAGATCAGCAGCCAGTGGAGCTGCCTTAACGTAAGAGTTGTTTGCTCCCTGTACTCTGCTCCAGTTAGTAACCTGGCTGCTGATCTCTGAACCAGTTGTAGCTTCCGAACTGTCTTCAAAGGCAGCCTCATGTAGATACTTCACAAGGATTTACATGTAATCAGCAAGTCTCCATATTGACTTTGCTTTTATGAATACTATCAACATCTCTGACAATAGCACTTCAAATATAATAGAAATATAATTAAGATATTATTCAAATACAGTGAATTAAAAGAAATATAATTCAAAATAATACTGTTTTCTTTTTCTTTCCTCTTCTGGTTTAGCCTGTTGGAAAGGTGAGCATTGTTCTATTTTTAAATTTTCAACTTATTCTGTAGGTTCTTTCAAATCCTAGTTTGAAAGATAATAGATAATATACCATATCAATGTAACTCAGTTGATAAATGTAAGTTGTTTAAGTACAATATCACACAGAGCTAAGCCTCCAACATCAGTAGCTAGGCACACTTCTTAGATGCTGGGCCATCGAATTCCAACAAGCTGTCAAAGATGGGCAATCTCCATGGGTTAATTGGACTGCATTGACCTCCATAAACCCAGGAACTCACATTGTGACAGTCTCATTCAGTTTCAGTATTTCAGCAGCAAAAAGGGTTCTGCTATGTACACAAATTAGTACACAAGATGTTCCATTAACAATGCAACATTTTAATTACAACATCAATTAACTTGTATGATACAAGCTAAATTATTTAATTCTCATTTAGTATGATGGGAGAAGGAAGTCTAATTCATGTTAACTTATAAAAGCAGGCAGTGAGGAGTGATGTTTACTCCCAGGTAGTATCTGAAATGGTAGTGCACACTAAATCTATGCTTTTTAAATCAGTAGAATTTAAAAGTCCTTATATATGGCTGAATCATGTCCTAATAATATATATTATATTATATTTTTACATTATTTGCATTGCAAGTTATGTTATTTTGCTTTCTAGGAAAGCATCCATGCCCAGTATATCCCACTGAATTGGTATTTGCCTTGGATGCCTCCCAAGATACCACACCCCAGTTATTTCGCCAGATGAAGGAAATCGTCATAGAAGTTGTGAACAATACTGAAATCAGGGAAAGCAATTGCCCAGTGGGAGCCCGAGTGGCAGTTGTATCGTACAACTCTGAGACGAACCACCTCATTCGTTTCTCAGATTTCCACAACAAAAAGAAGTTGCTTCTGAAGCTTGCTGGTCTTTCTTATCAGAGGTCAACAAGCAAACGAGACCTTGGTGGCTCTATGAGATATGTTGCCAGGAATATCTTCAAGAGAACTCTCTCGGGTGTTAATGTGAGAAAAATTGCCGTGTTTTTCAGCAATGGCCAATCTGAAAATCCTACTTCTATTGACACAGCCATTCTAGAGTTCAGTGCATTAGACATTCTTCCAGCAGTAATAGCGTTTAAAAACAACCCAAGGCTCAACCGTGCTTTTATGGTGAGATACTGTTTGTTTGTTTTTTATCTTTGTATCCAGGATAATTATCTCAAGCAGCTTACTGTTTGATGCTGGTATAATGTCAATTGCAATTATTTTTTATTTGGGTTGTCTCCATGTCTATCAGACATGGAGACAACCCAACTAGTTCTGCATAGGCCAAGAGCACAGTTGGGAGTGGATTGGATAAGATGCAAGGCTATTCCCACTAACTTTTTGTGTGTTTAGGCACCAACAATATGTACACTGAAGAAAGGCTGCATTGTACTTATGTTGAGGTTGTGTTTATCTAAATTATTCATTCCCTCGGGGAAGATTAAATAATTTAATCATTTCTCTCCACATTGTAGAAATGTCTTTGAGAATGAAGTTGTTGTTCAAGTCGTTCTCATGGGTTGAGGAACTCTCGCTCTTAAGCTCATATTTCTTTTCTCCCTCCAACAGGACTATATTATGTCATTAGGGCCCGCCAAGAATCATTACTGCCTATGTTTTTTATAGAAACTGTGCAGCAATGGGATCTTTTGAAGATCTTTGAGAGGCTTCAGAGTACGCCTGCCTACCCATATGCCAGCCATCAGAATATAACTAGTAATGTTCCTTGTCTTCCCTCCTCTCCCTGGCGACTATAGTTGGCCCTCCATATTAGCTACGGATGTAATATCAACAGTTTCAAACTTCTGCAGTTTGAAAATATTTTTAAAATATTCAAAAAAAAAAACAAACCTCGGATTTGCCATATAGAAAAGCATTCACGAATTTTGATATCCATAGGGAGTCATATCTCAACAGGCAACGATGCAGACGTTCTTGTATGAATTGCATAATAATGCAGGTATTCTCTGCATCTTACTGAGGGCTTTCTAGAGGTTCCAGAGGGTTACAAGATTAGTTTCACTTGCTGGCTATCAGAATATAACTGACCATGGTCCTCTGTTGCCTGTGCATCACAGCATAGCCAACATGATGTTGTAATTCACTTGGGAAAATTAGAAGCAAATGTGGTTGATCAATCAGAAGCTAGGAAACCAAATCCCCAACAGGAGGGTGTGCTTAGGAATAGTTTGGATCAATAACAGGGTATCATCTCTGAACTAGCTTGAATGTTTCTCGGGACCCTTCCAGACAGGCCCTATACTCCAGGATATGATTCTAGGTTTTCTGTTTATCCCAGATTATCTGGCAGTGCAGACTCATATAATCTATCTTAAAACAGAAAACCTGGGATCATGTATTGGGATATAGGGCCTGTCTGGAAGGGCCCTCATAGAGTGTTTTCAAAAGTTGGAGAGCACCTATGGCTTGTTTTATTTAAGGAGGCTGATTGTTCACTGCAAAAACTGGGGTCACGGTTGTGTTTGCATCTGAGCTGCAGGTAATCTGGGCCTCTCTCCAAACACTCCAGACCTACATGCATCTCCAAAGGAGACAGAACAGAAAGGGGCAAGAAAGAGTTAATTTGGGGAAGCACGAGTAATCCTCTATTCAAAGACTCTGGCCAAAAAAATATATGAAAAGGTGGCTTTAGGAGATCTTACTCATTGGGGTTTCTCAATATGCAAGAAGCACCCTTTTCCTTTCCACCCCAACTCCACCAACTCTTCGAATTTTCTGTCCATTCCTATGGCTATGCACAGACAACTATACATTTACACCAGTTGCCTTGAATGAAACAAATAGCCCAGGATTTTTAGATATGGTTCTAAGTCATTATGTTTTGCTTTAAAACTTGAACATGTTAAAATAACACCCTAAAATGTCTGAAGGTTTGATTCTCACGAGTTCAGATATTATGGTGCTATTGTTATGGATTATTGGTTAAACTTTCTCAGGGTATACATTATTGGATAAAACCAACATAATAAAGCAGTGGTTCCCAACCTTTAGGTCCCCAGATGTTTTGGCCTTCAACTCCCAGAAATCCTAACATCTGGTAAACTGACTGGGATTGCCAGGAGTTGTAGGCCAAAACACCTGGGGACCCACAGGATGAAAACCACTGGCCTAAAGGATACCATTTTACCAAATTCACAAACCAAACATAAACTTCTCCACTACATTTTGGAAACACCAATGATATTAAGGTTTCTGTAGAATTGGTTGTTCATCCCTTGTACGGGATTGGTTGTTCACCCCTTGTACGAGATTACACGGGACTGGTTGTTCACCCCTTGTACAGGATTACAAGGAATTACTACCTTCTCTGTACCTGGTGTGTTAAGAAGGAAAAGGAGGTTACATGAATGTGCTCGTTCAGGCCAGTAAGTTTGGACCACTCCTGGTGGGGTATAACTGGGTGTCTCTTGGAATACATTGTTGGCTCCCTCGTTCGCTCTCTGGGAATGGAAGTTGGAGGAGTCATACCCTCTGTGATTGTATGATTATATAGAAAGACTATGTGAGTTCTGTTATTCTGGAGAACAGTTATTTTGCTGCAATGCTGCAAGTTTATTTTACTCTTTTGAACTCTGCTGAACAAGAGTAAATATATGTTTCTTTTTTGTATCTTTGGTGGACAAGCTTCTGTATTAAACGTAACAAATAAAATGACTAAGATTGCAGATCTTAACATTTTCTTGCAATTTTTTTAAAAAAAATTAAAAACAAAATATTTTGCTGTTTTAGATGGATGACACAAGATTGTTTCAAGTTCTTAATATTCAACAGGAGAGTGATTATATTCCAGTCCTACAAAGACTTCAGTCTTGTGTAATTTGCTATGGTAAGAGCCCATAAAAATAACATGCAATCCAGTCCTTTTATCACAATTTCTCTTTTTTTCACACAATTGTTCTATATCCATTTGCAGACAAATGCAAACCAGATGAATCTTGCTTCACTGAGACTCCTCCCCCATCTGAGGACTACATGGATGCTGCTTTCATTTTGGAAAGCTCAAGGAAAATAAACTTCGACGAGTTTGACAAACTGAAAGACTTCCTGAGTGGAGCGCTTGACAACTTTAACATTTCTGTTGATCCAAAGACCTCCTCGAGAGGCGATAGGGTGGCTGTGCTGAGCCATGCCCCAAGGGAATTCGCACCCCGTAGACAAGGAAGTCCTGTAAAGACTGAGTTTAACTTTGTAACTTATAGCAGAAAAAGACAAATGAAGAGGCATATTCGAGATTCTATCCAGCAGCTGGATGGAGAAGCTGCGGTTGGCCATGCCATACAGTGGACAATTGATAATGTCTTCTCAAAAGCACCCAACCAGAGAAAATATAAGGCCATTTTTATTCTCTCTGCTGGAGTAACAAGTCAATGGGACAAAGAAGTGCTGCGTGATGCATCTCTGAGAGCCAAGTGCCAAGGCTATGCCATTTTTGTGCTCTCAGTTGGCCATGACTATGATGACATAGAACTCAGGGAACTGGCAAGTTTGCCCCAAGAACATCACTTGGTACAGCTTGGCAGAATTCACAAGGCTGAGCTTGGATATGCAGCGAAATTCCTGAAACCATTTGTACACTTGCTCAAAAGTAAGTTTTTACACTACTGCATAGATAACTTGCTTTTCCGTTTAGTGTTCAAAAGATATGCTGAGATGCAATGCCGCTTCTATGTCTTTGCATGCAGTAGGAATTAACATAAGCCTTTTCGTTTCAATATCATTTTTTTCTTTGCTATCAGGAAAGTATACTTTAATCTTTTTTCCAAGTTTTTCAAGAAGAAGGCAGAAGATCATGGGAAGAATGAGCAGAAAGAAAAATAATGTAATAGATTGTTGAGCTAAAGACTGAACTGACATTAAAACATAGTTAGCTTTGAAGTCTCCAAACTACCCTTCACTTTTATTTTGAGCTGTGACAGAGTGCATGCTTTGTTTTGACTCCAATTCCTAGACAAAAGTAAGCTGAAGGTAGATACCAGATGTTTGTGTTTACTTACAAAATTTGCTTAATAGTATTCCTAGAGGTGCCAACAGAATTAAAGATCATGAATCTATTCTGTGAATGAGTCCAATGTAGTGTCAACAGTACAGCAGGTCAGAAGTAATCTGATAAGTTTCTAGTACAGTTTTAGTATCCAGGTAAGCCAGTGGGTGTGACATTATGAGTCAGCAACACCACTTTTAAATATAATGACAGCCTACACTGGAATTTCTCCAGGTCTAAGCACTTTGTCCAAGTGTAAGATTAGCTATCTAGGTGCTAAGCCTATATTGGGAAATAGTGTTCAGCATCTATATGCTACCCTGATCAGGATAATCTGCATATCTGGAGCAGGTCTACAATATCAGTGTCACCTATCATACATGCTAGCTAGCATCAATATGATCCCTTAGTGAATTGATTTTCCCTAAACCTTCTAGTTTGACAATTGTGCCACCAAGGAATGGATCATTAGTAGATGGTACTGGGTTAGAATACAAACACACACAGAGGAAGCAAGTCTATAAATCATTGAATAAATGGAGCTTGCTTCTTCTGACACAGGAGAGAAGTGCTTGGAAAAGTTACTATTTCAAACTACAATTCCCAAAAATGTCACCATTAGTGGTCATGCTGTCTGAGGATTCTGGGAATTTTATTCCAGAAGGGTAAATGTTTTAAACTTTGGAGAGGGATCTACCAGTTCGCTCAATCATAGATACCAGATGTTTGGGTTAAAGAGCACCGGTTCACTTGTTCATAGTGCAATTCCACTCTTCATTTGTCATAATTACATGCTTTGTTTTGACAGGCGGAATCCACAGCTATCCACAGACACAGCTTAGGAGAAGATGTGCAAGTATCAGCAGCCAGAGACCTCTGTATGTTCCAGGACAGCAAACACCGCTGTGAGTTTTTTCCCCAGGGATTATTTTCTGCTATGACAGGTCTACAAACACATGAAAACAAAACTCATGCTTTGTTTGTAAATACTATGTTGATCTTCAGACTAAGTTGTGAGGACCTGGCGTCCTGTTGATGATATAGAAGCATGTTACTTGTGTAGTTGAGCTTTTGGTGGTTGCTTCTAAAACTATTTAAGACTACTAAATGAAGGAACCAGCCTAGCAGTGAATCATGAAAAGAGGAAGTGCTCTGAGCTAACTGGGATGTGATTTCCCAACTCTTTCATCAATTTGGTCACCTCTAGATTGGATTACTGTAATGCGCTCTACGTGGGGCTGCCCTTGAAAACGGCTCAGAAATTCCAACTGGTCCAACGGTTGGCGGCCAGGATGTTAACTGGTGCTCCTTACAGAGAGAGGTCAACCCTCCTGTTTAAGGAGCTCCATTGGCTGCCGTTTACCTTCTGATCCCAATTTAAGGTGCAGGTGCTTACCTACAAAGCCCTAAACGGTTTGGGACCTGCCTACCTGCATGACCGCATCTCTGTCTATGAACCCACGCGCTCCCTTCGTTCATCCGGAGAGGCCCTGCTCGCGATCCCGCCTGCGTCGCAGGCGCGTCTGGTGGGGACGAGGGACAGGGCCTTTTCTGTGGTTGCCCCCCGACTTTGGAACACCCTCCCTAAAGACATTAGATTGGCACCCACATTGGCAGTCTTTAGGAAGAGCTTGAAGACCTGGCTATTCTGATGTGCCTTTCCGGAATAGGAAAACCCCAGCACTATGTCCCAGAAACACTTTATTCGAGTTTAAGACTCTCTGCACATTGCACTTGCCCAGAAATCCAACATACCACCTGTCACACCCAGCACTTTTTAATCTGTACCCATCACTTAGCCCGGCCTTGGTTTTTACTGTGTTATGGTGTAGTGTTTTGTTGTTATTGCTTTATGTTTTTGATTTGCTTTGAATTGTATTGTTGTTGTTATGCTGTTGTTGTGTTGAGGCCTTGGCCTGTGTGAGCCGCATCGAGTCCTTTGGGAGATGCTAGCGGGGTACAAATAAAGTTTAATAATAATAATAATAATAATAATAATAATAATAATAATAATTTATAATGCATATGATCTTCCAGTACTGAAGAAGAGTCAAGAGAAAGGAAGCATCCAGACAATGCTATTATTTGTAGTTTCTGTAGAGTAGTGTTTCTTAACCTGTGGGACACGAGGATGAAAATCTGGTCCACTAGTCTCCTTCCTCTTTATTTATTTTATTTTATTTTCTCTCCTTTCATTCCACCTGCCACTCTTTCACTGTTGCTGACCATGGCATATGTTCTGTATCAGAAACTAGAGCTGATGTGGTTTATCCAATGCAATTTTCTGAATTAGCAAACCAAATCTAAAGTTGACCAAAAACTGATTCGTAACCCTTTTGGTACTAATGTTGGAGAATGATCCCCGGTCAAAATGGCCCCTGGTAAAAAAAAAAGTTGGGAACCACTGCTGTAGATGCACAAAAGTTGGAGTGAGCTTCAACTCTTGTGCAATGCTAGCTTTGGTCCTTTCCTTGACATCTTCCTTAGGGATAACCCTATGCATTTCATAAATAAAGCTTGGAGACATCACTGCAGCTACTAGTAAAGTATCTGATCCATGACACCATGGCCATTCTGTAATGATGTTCTATACTGTATAAAAATCTTTACAAACGTGTTGATTATATATTTTTTGCAAACATATTGATTTTTTTGCTATTTTAATACATTTATTTTTCTAACTGGTAGGATAGTGCCAATTGAAACTAGGGTTCAAGATGAGACATCATCTCTACAAGAATTCCTAGCAAGGGATTCTGTATCAGTTGAAAGTCTCATCAGCAACGCACAGCAACAGGCCATTGTAAGTAGAATGTCATACTCTATTGCCATCCAAAGTTGAATTTTTAAATAGTATGAAATTATTCTCTTTCCTCTCTGCTTAAATGTATTGCTCCTAATGTGAAATTCTTCTGCTGTTGGTTGTCATCTTCAGCCCTGCTCTACTTCTTCCACGAATATCTCCATCTATAGATAGATTCACATCCTGAACACAAACCGGTTCACGTCTTATGGGTAACAATAAAAAAGGATAAATAAAGATAAAATCTGGTATCTGATAAGGGATGCAGGATAGTTCCCAGCTTTTACAAATTATACCTCAGTTTAGATATATTTATCTGCATATAGATTTTAACAGTTTGGCAAGCATAATCTTCAACTGGTAAAACAGATGACAGTGAGATTCTGCATCTATGTTTTAGTATGTCATTCCATCCGAGAGTCAGGGTAGCAATAACAGGATCATCATCATCATCATCATCATCATCATCATCATCATTTAATAACTTATTAATCACCCTCCATCCGAGAATGCTCTAGGCGATTTACAGCTGAATTATTAAAGATAAAATACATAAATACAAAAATTAAAAATTAACAGAGATCGAATGCTCTAGTAAAAAGCCAGGTCTTAAGTGCGAGAGTAAAAGGCCCTAAGTCACGCATGTAGGGTGGCAAGGATAAAATACTCACACACTGATGTCTAAGAATAAAGTTTATATTGTGTTGATTTGTTTTATTTATCTTATGTTGCTACTGTACGTATTTTATTTTGATGTAATTTTTGTTGTCTGCATTCTGAATTTTATTTTGTTGTATTGTATCTTTGGGCTTGGCCTCATGTTAACTTTAGTTAGTGTGCCTTCCCTGAATAAGGAAATAATCCCCAGCAAAATGTCCTCAGAAGCACTTTAACTACTCGTTGGGTTGCTCTCCCTTCATTTCTTTTAAAACTCTCCTATCAGATACATCCTTCCTCTGTTCATCCCCAGTGTTTATTTTTTAAATTTTAAATTATCACATTTGGCCCGGCCATAGGTTTTAAATCCTTGTGTGTTATTGTTTACATGTGAGTTATATTAATTGTATTATTTTTGCTTATTGTTTTTTGTTTTATTGATGTGTTGTCAGGCTTGGCCTCATGTAAGCCGCTCCGAGTCCCCTTGGGGAGATGGTGGCGGGGCATAAATAAATAAATAAATAAATATTATTATTATTAGCCACCCTGAGTCCCCTTTGGGGAGATGGTGGTGGGGTATAAATAAAGATTGTTGTTGTTATTGTTATTATTATTATTATTATTATTATTATTATTATTATTATTATTAGGCTATTTTAGAATTTTTTAATCCCAAGTGTTATGATAGGCTTTATTTCTGGTCAAGGACAACTGATGGCTTCCATGTCAATGGGATGGCAAATCTACCAAGGGTACCTAATATGCTGAACCTCATTACGTGTGGAATAAGACCCAAAGTGGACTTATTAGACTACTGACATGGAAGCCAACAAACTACCAGTGCACTTCGTTTCCTTGACTGGCCTGGCAATAGGATACTGGACAGCTCAAAAATATCTATTAAATCAAACCAGAACCTAGTGTGGCATTGCTCACATATGTATTAGCATTGAATACCTGTGCCCATCGAACCTCAAAGGACATACATATACATCCTGAAGGTTGTATATGTCTGCAGGTTGTGAGCATTCTCTCTTGTGAAAGGGACTGTAACATTGGCCATTGGGAGGCAAGGCAAAATCTAAAAAGCAGAACTAGGAAAAACTAGGTTTATGGACTATAACTCTGAGAATTTCTAAATCAGTAAGAACAAGATAGCAGGGGGATCTAGGGAGCAGTAATACTGGGAAATCAGTATGGTGTTAAACTAGGACTCAGGGAGACCAGAGTTGAAAACCTGGCTCAGCCATGGAAACCCACTAGGTGACTCTGATCAAGCTCATATTTTCTTAGATTTAGAGGAGGGCAATGGCAACCCCGCAACAGAAATCTTGCTAAGAAAGACCTATACTATTAAGGTTGCTTATAAGAGTCATTTAAAAAAATTATTAGCCCTTTAATCCATATCACAAAACAAATCAGAGTAAACTTGAAAACAAAGAACAATTCTAAAAAAAGTGATATTCCCAAGCTCTTCTTTTCAAAAAGACCAATAAACTTGACAATTCCCATTTCCTGTTTGTACTACTTTCAGTACTCCAGTTTTCTCAACTCTTATTTTGTGCTGGGTAAGCAGAGTCAGCCTCTTTAGCCCTCAACTTCGATATAGGCAGTGAATCTTTGAAATTATAATATAGGTTATCCGACTGATGCAATTCAATATGTCTTAAGAGTGATCTTGACACTTCATTTATGTTTTATTTCCTTTTATTTTCAGGTACTTGAAACATAGTTAAGCTTTCAGAATAACAGCTAAGATGAAGAAGAATATTCCTGCAGAGTCTTGTGAAGGAGTACTTTATTGTCATTGGGGCTGATACCTCTGATCTAATCTTCATTAAAAGCTATGTCCCAGCTCTCAGCTATACCTGCAGCTACTACAAGATTCTTGATTTACAGATATAGAGGGAGACAAATGTGTCAGGGAAGCTAGTGGTTTTGATGCTAGTGGGATAATAAATACAATCTGAGTCTAATTCTAGACCTTAAAGGGATTGTCCAAGGTGCTGAACTCAAAATGAATTCCACATCAGTAATACCACCTTCAAACTCTGGAATAAATCAATGACTTGAGTGCCTCTGGTTGATGTCTTTGGTGTGCTGGATCTTCACACTGAAATCATAAACCCCATCTACAAGTGGTTATATCAATTCTGGGTAGAATATTAATTTATGAAGTGAAAAGGAGCCATGAATAGACAAAACAATACATAGAAACTGCTCTCAGAATGAAACAAGTCGGGAAAATGAAATGAATATGTATCTGAAACATTTAAATGTCTTCATCTTATTCTAATATGATATGGATGGTTCGTTAGACCTTCCAGAAACGGGGGAAGGATTTCTTAAATTCCAAACTCTACAAGAATAAAGTCTATACTACGATATAAGCGTAGTATTTCATTGTCACTGGTGGCCAGATCTCAGTGCTTTCAGGAAATGTTTAAAAGTGATTGCAGTGTATTTTCATTTTTGAGCCACGTGGTATGATCCCATCCATATGAACTCAGACTCAGGTATCATTGTGTTCAATTGAACTTATCTGGAGATAAGAGGTATACGATTGTACGTTTACAGTATGAGTGCATCTGTACTGAACATCATGCACAAAGTCCCTTCCCTACATAAATCTTTGTGAATTTTTTTCTTCTAAACTACAGTATGTGTGCAAAACCAAATCTATCTATGCTGGCAAAAAAAATCAATAAAATGGTGCTGTCTGGAAATGTGTCCTTTTAAAATTGCTTTCAAAATGGTAGAGGAAGAAAAAGAGAATTTCCAGGTCTTTTGTGGCACTTTAATTTCTAACAGGTTTACTTGATATAACCTTTTATAAATCACAGCTACTTTATTCACTGCATGGAACAGATTAATATATTATTTCTGCTGGGATGAAGCGCAATCAGTAACCTGTGATGAAACTAAAATACAAAACCTACAAACCGTGATCATTGCCTTGAGAGCATCATTAACCAACTGTAGTAACACAACCCGGAGTTGCTATACAAATCAAATCAAACATGTAAGAACAGTGGTTGCTATTATTATACTTTGTCTATTTAGTTATTTATGTGTAACTACATTTGATCTCTTGGCCTGATCATTCTCAAAATCTACTTTAACAAGCAAAGCCACACTCACAGATGGAAGTTCATGGTGACCGAGATGCAGGCGGATTATATTTCCATCCCCATTCTTTCTTGCCAACAAGCAAATTGCAGCAAAGGCTTGTGAAAGTGGCTTGTGACAGGGTTTCTACTTCTGATTGTCAAAATCTTGCTGGTTGGTGGGAAACAGATGGAAACTTGTACCTCAACTGGCAACTGGTAGGATCTCCATCTCATACTGCAGCTGTTGCCTGAAAAAGAGGTTTGAGAATGCATTTACAGTCATCGCCTACCAAATTCAATTATGTTTATTCTAAAATAAATTAGTTCCTGATTATAACACTAATTTTGCTATTCAGAATCCTGTCACTTGAATCCTCTTGATAATCCCTATTATGGGAAATCTACTAAATCAATGGAGTCATATATTTATTGATCCATTTGTTTGTTCATTTTTTTTATTCTGCCTTTCTCTCAAAGATTGGATGTGAGGTGGCTAACCATATATTTAAAACAATGCAAATTAAAAACAATACAAAAGCATTAATAAATATACAAATATATAATAAAAGCAAATAAACAATGTATGAAGTGAAAACATTAAAAATTGTTGGGAATCAGGCGCTGTTAGGTTCAAAATAACCCTCTCTGGAAGTGATTCCATCAAAAATATAGCAGAGTGCTAAATGCACAGTTCATAAGCAGCAGAAACTTGCATGTAGTGAGCAAGGATTGCCTTCAGTTCAACAGGATGGAACAGGGTTGCAGATCCACAACATCATAGGATCAAAATTAATATGTTTATTAAAGACAAAAGAAATCCATTCTAGATAGGAAAGGTTTTTGGAGCTAACTAGATTCACTGAGCTATCTTCTAAGGAAAGGAAAAAGGAAAAATAATAAAAGTAGCTATGTTTACTACATCTTTCCTGAAAAATGGCAAGATGATTTCTCATTCTAGAAAAGACAAAAGGAGAAGAAATTCAATATAGTGAACTCTGAGCACGTGGGTTTTTGCCAGGGCAATAAAAATACCTTTAAAGAGGAAGTTACATTTTTCCCTGGAGAGATCATATTGCTAAGTATTCAGAGGGGTAGGAGATAGTGGCATGCTAAGATGAGTAAGACAACCCCTTAAGATAAGCTTGCTAGAGGAAATTTGGGAAGAAATCCCTCACTCTATCTAGGCTAACTACTCATTGAGAGCTGGAGATTTGTGCAGGGATGAAACCCAACAAAATGTTAACATTCATTACTCATAAATGACTATTTACAACCTTAAAAACAGCACCAAACAAAATTAAAAACTCAACCCTAAGACCCTATCCCACCAAGGTGGGGGAGCGGGAAGAATTGTCTTCTTCCTGTAATGTTCTGTGACGTTCTGTCTTGAAAGAAGTTAGAGATCACACAGAATCATCTTGACTCAATCCTAGTCAAACCCTGCACTTCATTTACCGTCACAAGGGTGGGTGTTGTCTCCTCTCATTCTGAGCATGACATTTTTGGTTGTTTTTTTTTATTTTAAAAAAAATTGCAATTGCAGGATGTCAAAGATTCAAAATTTCTCAGTTCCAGCAATAACACATTTATAAAAAGCAGGATAGAAGTCTCAAGAGTAATAAATCAAAAATTTTACAGTCCTTCCAAGTAAAACCCTATGTTAGCCCAAACATTCTCAATGTCAACAGTCTCATTTGGACATGTGGCAGGATCATAATTTTGGTGCTATTGTTAAACAATTGGGATCACCCATAAAACACTCAGAAATCGAATAGTAAATCTAGGCCCACCTTCTACACAGCTCCAAGTGAAATATTTGTTATTTTAGATGCTGATTAGAATGGCTTAGAACAAGGGTCCTCAAACTAAGGCCCGGGGGCTGGATGCGGCCCTCCAAGGTCATTTACCCGGCCCTCACTCAGGGTCAACCTAAGTCTGAAATGACTTGAAGACACACAACAACAACAACAATCTTATCAGCCAAAAGCAGACCCACACTTCCCACTGAAATCCGAATAAATTTATATTTGTTAAAATTGTTCTTTGCACTACAAATAAGATTTGTGCAGTGTGCATAGGAATTCATTCATTTTTTTAAAAGTTATAATCCAGCTCTCTAACAGTTTGAGGGACTGTGACCTGGCCCTCTGTTTAAAAAGTTTGAGGACCCCTGGCTTAGAACAATGGTTCTCAACCCGTGGGTCCCCAGATGTTTTGGCCTTCAACTCCCAGAAATCCTAACAGCTGATAGACTGACTGGGATTTCTGGAAGCTGTAGACCAAAACACCTGGGGACCCACAGGTTGAGAAACAGTGGCCTATAATGTTCTTGTTCAAAGGCAGACCCATTCTCAGGAGGTGCACACAGCCTGGGTGGTGATTACTCTCCATCCCTGTCAATCTCTTGAAGACAGGGCTATCCTATGATTGTTCACAGTAACTCCATCTTCAGGAAGCTGACATGACATGGGCAGTGATGACTCAGACACTCCCCTCTCCTGCAATCTCTTGGAGACAGGCTGCTACATGAATGTTCAGAGGGCCCCATCTTTGAGAATCAAGCCCATTATGGGTGGTGATCCTTCACCACCTGCCACTTCTTGAGGATGAAGCTACCACGTTAAAGTTCCAAGTTTAGGATGTGGACATGGTGCAAGTTTGCAAATATTCAATGCTGCAAATGTTAACATTCATGAATGTGATGGGCAACTATAATTTAAACAACCTTGTGAGTCTCCTTTAAATCTATTCCTTTTTTCCTGCTGTTAATCTATTGGGAAAATTACATTTAGGACTATGACTCACAGAGTCTCCCAACAGCATTTCAAGCTCTCAGCTGTTGTCAAAACCACAACAACAATCTCGCTACCTCCTCCTAATTCTTCTCCCATTGACATAAGAAGGATAGCAGAAAACATTCCTCAGGCCAGCTCCACCACATGAGTCTCAACTGGAGTTGAGAACAAGGGTAGTCATCCTAGAGCAAGACAGTGGAAATGTGTTACTCTCCATATGCTGTGGAACTTTAATTCCCATTAGTCCTGGGCTGCTGGCCAACAGATAAACATACCAGCAGGAGTTCTTCATCAATATCAGGAGGATCAACTGTTTCCCATCACTGTACCGGAGGCTTTGGAGATAGTGGAACTCCTTTGAAAACAAGAAGGGGAAAGGATGCAAAGAGAATTCTAAATATCATATACTCATTAGCTTCCTAAATTTTCGACATTTAAATTATATGGCACATTGACTATTCAAGCTAGAAGATGGGAACTGGAAAAAATCAAACAAAGAATGGTCTGGCGTTCTTAAGCAAAAATGTTTGAATAGACCTATGTTTGATTCTTTATAATTTGATTCCTTTATATACAGAGTGATCTCACCATCGGTTCAACATTGCCTGGTGTGCTTTTTAATCATATACATTGTGTGGATCTTTAAACTCATACAGGTTTCTAATAAGAAAGTGTTCTTAGCTTGAATTAAAACTTTTTTATAACACAGGCTTTAGAACATGAATAGAGTAGGTAGATAACTTCCTGATTCTATTTCAGTTTATTTTTACACAAAGTTAAATAATTTTAGTGATCCCCGATCTCTTTTTCATACTGTGAGAGCTACTGATTATATTGTAAAATGAGTTACCATTAAATGAGGTAACTGCTTCAGCCAGTAGATTGTAGGTCACAGTGGTTCTCAACCTGTGGGTCCCCATATGTTTTGGCCTTCAACTCCCAGAAATCCTAACAGCTGGTAAACTGGCTGGGATTTCTGGGTGTTGTAGGCCAAAACACCTGGGGACCCGCAGGTTGAGAACCAATGTGCTCGAAGGCCACAGTGTCATCCTTCAGAATATCTTCTTGAGCCTTGCCCAAGTTGAGGACAGATCTGTTTATCATCCAGTCTTTCCTGGAACTGCATACACAGATGCAATGAAAATGTTATGCTTTTTAAATGAAGTTCCTAGCATTCTACATTATGGCCACATCATGAGAAGACAAGAAAGCTTAGAGAAGACAATGATACTGAGAAAAATAGAAGGTTGGCTTGACATGACTTCCTCTTGGCACGTTTCTCTTTTTCACCATCTGTGCCTCTTCAAATTCTGCAGCACTGCTGGTCACAGCTGACCTCCAGCTGGAGTGCTCAAGGGCCAGGGCTTCCCAGTTCTCAGTGTCTATGCCAGAGGTTTTAAGGCTGGCTTTGAGCCCATCTTTAAATCTCTTTTCATGTCCACCAACATTCCATTTTCTGTTCTTGAGTTCGGAGTAGAGCAACTGCTTTGGGAGATGGTTATATGTTATATGAAAAGCAACAATAATAAAGCATGGAAGTACTGCCACTATTTAGCTTGGCTTTTCTTTTAACAGCATTCCAAGGAGGAATCTGATAAGATTCTCTACCTGGAAATTTTGGGGTTCCCCTATATATGCTTACACCACTACATATTCTGATATCTCATTTTGTTCTTCAATGGCCCTCTTTGGGCCATGATCAGCTCTGTGGTCACTAGAAAGACTGGTGGGAATGTGCAAAATCTAATAAGGGAATCTAGGAACAACATAACTATGCAACATATGAAAATCATTAAACAGAAACCACACAGAAACAATTAA